CCCGCCCTAAAGAAAGCAGAGTCCTCAGGAGCGACTATGTGATTGCAGAAAATATTCAAGACAGGCTAACAGATAGCGGGGCACAGGGGCTCCTCATCCCATATCAGGAATGAGGGAGAGAATATGTTTTCCAATGGGGCTTTCCATATATTGGGGCTTACAGCTCTTTCATAAGGCATGTATGTCATACAGCCAACAATTGCAAAGTCGATGGGTGATACCAAACACAAATAACATAATAGACCAGCAACAAAGTGAGTCATCTTCTTGACCTAGGGTTTGTTGACTTCAAACCCCCCTGAGCCCTCCCCAGGAGGAATCGTCTCTGATAAGTACCAACAAGGGCTGACAACACAGAGTTCGCTACACTTTATGGTGGGCTGGCTATATAACCTGATTGCTTTTATCTACAGATAAAGAATACAGAAATGATTCATCATACATGGTGGCTCCTTTATGATAGTTTTTTATGGGGGGTTATTTTGTTCCCTCATGAGAATGAATGTATATTAAAATGAGGAACTGATACCAAGGGCTCAAGTAGAAAGAAAATGTTTTGAAAATCATGATGGCAACATATGTATAAATGTGCTTGACACAATGGATGGATGGATGGATGGATTATGATAAGAGCTGTAAGAGTTCCCAATAAAATGATTTTTAAAAAGAGACTTATTTATATCTCATAACCGCGAGTGTCTTCCCCCACTAGAGTCAGCTTTTCTGACCCATAATTTTGAGAATGGAAGATTTAGCTGTATTACTTTCTTCTCCAGCCCCTCAGTTTACCACAAGAATAGGGAAAGTGGTACAAATTGTGAATTGATAGATAGTTAATAAAAGATGTGAGTTAAATGACCAATTAATGTAGAATAAGTTTTTGAACTCCCTTGTATTTAGAAACATGAAAAACTTAAACAGAGAACAACTAAGTCCACATGGAAGATGCACACCAACATCTGATCCAATGATTATAAATTATATTTCAAAAGACTGGCAAGTGTTTGGGAAAATTTAATGAAATGGTAACTTTTATGATGTGACTATAAATTAATGTAACCACTTTGGAGAGTGATTTTCCTGTAATAGTAAATTAGAAAGGAATTCTTTCCGGGTTTTGAGATATGTTTTTAGCCTAAACTTGTTCAATATCCCTCTCTCAATAGTGTTTTAAAAATTAGTATCATGGGCTAACCAATGACACTAATGAACAGAAAGGCCTTATGTCCCAGGAAGATGATCGATAAAAATTCTCTACCCTAAATTAACAAGGTGATCCAGAGGCAGAATGGCTTTGGGGCTAGTACTTAATCCTAGCTCCATCCTAAGAACAATGAGTCCTTACAGCATGGCCCTGCTCAATACTTGCCTTCATCAAGGAAATACAGAAGACGTGGGTGTATCACAAAGTGTGGTGAAGAAATCAGATGGTCCCAGATAGAATAGCATCTGGGGTCTTAAAGGCTTGCTTCCAAAATAACAGCCATCTAAGTGAGACATCAACTAAGTCCACGTGGAAGAAGCACACCAACATCTGTGATCCAAGAAGTAGACATGATATAATCCAAATCCGAAGGATGGAATAGTATCAGAGCTTAATTGTGAGATTCTAGTGCACAGAAAGTGATGGATGCCAGTGGAAGGCCAACACACCTTTGCAGAATCTGCACAGGGAATAAGCCTCTGGCGATTTCCCTCTCACCGTCATTGAGGGATGAGAATGACCGGGTTATCAGATGGAGAGTATTGGAGTGACGATTATAGCCGATTAAAATAATAAATCTGACTTGATTAGTTAAAGCCTTGTAACTTGAGCTCCCCTTGGCTATATTTTGGGGTTAATCTGGTTTTTAATATCTGTTTTTGTTTGTTTGTTTGTTTTCCATTATTGGGGTTTATCTCTTGTGTATTTTGTCATTGTGAGTAGCCTTCTTGAATCTTTCTTATGTGTTTTTCCATGTGTTTTGATAGATGATACCTAAGATAGATGACTCTACAGAGACAACAGCTAGAATAGGCGCCTGCTGGTGCTCTGGGAGGTAGGAGTGGGGTAAGAGGAAGCTGATATCAGGAAGGAAGAAAATGCTTTGAAACTGATTTTGCAATATTGAAGCAATTGTACAATATTGCTTCAGGTGATTTAGCTATGGAATGGTATGATGCCTGGATTAGTTCCTAATAAAATGGTTTTGGGGGAAAAATAAATTAATTAAAATAAATTCTTCTACAGTGCAAATGGAAGCCGGTTGAATTTCAATTATGTACTAACAAAGTATTGAAATAACCTAAATGTTAATTAGTAAATAATAAAAAGATAAATCGTGTAGACAACAACTAAAATGAGTACATCTTCTTTATTCAGTCTCCAACGTTCACGTGCATGTGAGGTCACTGAAAATACTGTGACTTGGGTCTGGCTCACCTTCGTCCTTAACACTCTGTAGATAGAGGTCTTGTGCAGCAATTTACCCAATGCAAAGTGTCCTTTGATCTCTTGACTGCTGCTTCCATGAGCATTGACCATGGATCCAAGCAAGACAAAACCTTGCCAACTTCAATCTTTTCTCGATTTAACATGAAGTTACTTATTGGCCCAGTTGTGGGGATTTTTGTTTGCTTTATATTGAGTTGTAATCCTTACTGAATGTTGCAATCCTTGATCTTCATCAGAAAGTGCTTCAAGTCCTCCTCATTTTCAGCAAACAAGGTTGTGTCATCTGCAAATCACGGGTTAGCCTTTCTCCGATCCTGATGCCATATATATATATATATATATATATATATATATATGAAATTTTGAAATAATTATGAACTTTTAAATTTGTCTGCAGCACCTATAGGTGCTTATTGTATTCTTTTTAAAAATAATTTTTATGGATTATATATATATATCTTAAAATGGTTATGTAGTTTTGAAGATAATCTGCTAACCATAGTAGCAAAGTTTAAAAGCACTTGACTTCTCCTTTTCCTTTAAATTAGTCACATTTCCCTTGTTAGGGTCACCTTCCCTAGGACACTTCTGAGTGGGACTTTTTACCCTTTCCAGCGTGTTTGATGGTGGGAAACTCAAGAACAATAAGCATAAATGTAAGGAT